CCCCCAAAAAAAGAAATTAATTAAAAAAAAAACAACTCCTGGTGAAGGAGGCTCTGCGATGAGGCTCGTTTTACAGATAAGGAAACTGTGGGTGAAGTCAGCTATAGAGCCCCACAGCCTGAGCCCCAGTCCCTGTGTAAATGGAGCATGGCATCGGGATCAGAGGACCTGGGCTCAAAGCCACCCTAGCTGCACCAACTCATTAAGTCCCCTAGTCAGTTTGGGTCCACATCTCCTCATTGAAAAACAGGGACCCCAGGTGGCTCCAGCAGGTCCCCCGGGGTCGAAGCCCCTCTCCTACTGCGAGGCTCTACTCCCGGAGGCTTTGCTGAAGCATCTCCTCCTGCCTCCTCGCCTGCCGAGAGCAATGGGCTGTGAAAGAAATCTTCTAAAATTATATACCTGAAGTTCCCAAAAAAGCATGGAGGTGGCATTCTGATCGCTGACCCTGCTATGACTCTCTTCTATTTTTTTAAAATATGTTTTTACTGATTTTTAGAGAGAGAGAGAGGAAGGGAGAGGCAGATAGATACAAATATCGATGAGAAAGAAATATCATCGATTGGTTGCCTCCTGCACGCCCCCTACTGGGGACGGAGCCCACAACCTGGGCATGTGCCCTGACCGGGAATCAAACCAGTGACCTCCTGGTTCATGGGTCGGCCCTCCACCACTGAGCCACACAGGCCAGGCTATTTTTAATTAATAAACAAGAAAATCCTTAGTGAAAAGTTCGAGAAGCTATAGACAGAGAATTAGACTGTGAGTTGGAATATGGGGTGATTCTGCCCAGGTCCTGCTGCTAAACGACCACACCACCTTGAATGAGCGTTTTTCCCTGGCGGGTCCTCAGCTTCTTCACCCATGAAATGAAGAGACTGAGCTACAGGATCTACCACACTTCCTGCCCCCAAGTCCTATGCTTCCAAGGAAAGGAGACACCTATCCATTACCTGAGAGACACCCACCACCTTTCTGGAAGGGTGGTTCCGTGCTCACAGCCCGAGGCCAACGCAGCGGCCGGAGACGTAGGACTAAAATATGAAGGAATGAGTGTCATTCAGAAGTTAAGACAAAACTCTCTGAAGCTGTAAGTCGAGTGTGCAGAAGATGCCATTTCATTTACAACAATTATTATTCAAGACACTTGCCAGACACACACTACAGTGCAAAGTGAGGAGCCACAGGCCTCCTCAGGGAAGGGGCAGCAGACGGGCTTCTGATGGGTTCATCTCGGCCGCAGGCCTGGCCGGCTGGGCACATGTCCACAGTCCAGGCACCCTCACTGCCCCCAACTCCAGGCTGAGGGGTTCCTACAGGCATCCTGGGGACTCACCTTTTACCGCTCAGCTCTGCTCACATCCGCTCACTGGCCGCCAGAGGGTCTGGGTCAGAATCAGGGTGCCAGTCTTTGTTTCTGCCCGAGCAAAAGAGGCGGCTATGGGGGCACCGGCACAGCAGTGCCTGCCCAGCCTGGCACAGCCCCGGCGCGTGCTGAGCCCCGGCGCGTGCTGTGCCCCGCCGGTTTCTGGCGAACCCCAGGAGGAGGCGGCGCTGGTCCTCTATTCCCAGCAGCCCAGGGGCGGGACAGGAGCTGGGAGGTAAAGGTCAGAGGCTGCTGCTGCCCCGCCCCCTCTCCCAACGCGGCACCCACGCCGGTGACGGCTACTTTCTGTTTGTCAGGCGGGAAGGAAGGACCTTCCAAAACTGTCAACGCAAGTGTTTTTCCTGCACTCTTCCCTACTGGTGGGCCGGTTGGTGCCACACACCCCTGCACAGGTTAAGTCAAACCCTCATCAGTGACCTGCCCAAGGCTAGATGGGGGACAAGGCTGAGAGATCGGCCCTGGGGCGCTTTTTCCTAATCTCAGAGAGTCCGTATTCCCAACACTTCTTTAGATACCAATCTTAGGTGCCAGTGACCCAAATGGTGTGCTGGAGCCACACCGTACCGGAACACAACATTCAACTGATACATTTTCAAGAATTTTTCCAGCCAGTTGTGAAACACAGACATGATTAACAACCTAGTTATGCAAATTTATAACTGAGCCAATTATATTAAAAACACATCATAAAAACGCAAAACCCATGCCTTCCTAATGATTTTGCTACATTTTGCTACTGTTACCTATGCTCTTGACATTATTTACATCTATTGTATCTGTGAGGCAAAGATATTTTGTAATGTGTGCTTGAAACTGGCCAGGAGGAGTGTTTACACAGCAGATATTGGCAATCACTACAAACCAGGCTCCCCCACGCACGCCCACCCCCTGCAGAGCTGGTTGTTACACATTCACCAGAAGGCTTGGCCTGTGCTGCCAAGCCTGTGTTTCCAGTCTGGACTTTTTCCACACTCAGACAAACTGCTACTCTGACACCATTAGCTGGTTGTCTATAAGACTTTCCACATTTAAAATCAAACTGACTTTTCTCCCATCCTACTCCAAGTGCAGATTTCCCCATTCTCAGTAAAAGGCAACTCTATCCTTCCCCGTGGTCAGGACAGAAACCTAGGGGTCATCAACCTGTCAGCAAACCCTACAATATCATCCAAATGCACGTAGAAAACACCCATTTCTCTCCACCTTCCACTACTCTACTCTGGTCCTAGCCACCACCGTCACTTCTGTCTGGGTTACTGCAGAAACCACCTAACTGGCCCCCCGTTTCTTTCTCTGAACACGGTAGTCAGTGTGATCTTTTTACGTGGGTCAGGGAGTGTCATTCTCCTGGTCAGTGGCCTGCAGGGTCTATACCTTCTGGCCTCCACCGGTTCCCTCTTTGATCACTCCTGCTTCTCTGCCCCTCTCGGGGCTCTGGCCGCCCATTCTCCTGCCTCAGGGCCTTTGTCCTTGCTGTTCTCTCTGCCTGACCCACTTCTCCCCGCAGATGTCCACATGGTTCACCCCCTCGCTAACGTCAATTCTTAGCTGAAATGTCACCTTCTCTGTGAGGCTTTCTCGGCCAACCGCGTAAAACCGTAAACCTCCCGCCCCCGCGTCACCCTCAGCTTTATGTCCCTCCATAGCATATACCACTTTCGAACACACTGTGTGTGCTAAATATGCTTGCTGTGCTATTGCCCGTCACCCTTCCCCTCAAGAAGGTACATGCCAATGAGGACAGAGGTTTTCGTGTCTGTTCGCTGCACGTCTCCACCATCCAAAACGGGGCCTGGCACACAGAGGGCGCACTAGAAATATCTGCTGAATGAACAAATAAATCCCGCTGGCACGAGACCACTGCCACCTGTGTCTGAGCTCTCCGCATGTGAGCGATGGCCCACAGGAACAAATCTCTAGTGGTGCCTTCGAGCGCTGTGACACAGCACACATAAGAGAGATCTTTACAGAGTATTTAATCATAGGTCAACCGCTAGGCTAAGAGCGGGCCATGCATTACGCCACAACCTATGAGGTAGGTGCTCTTACTGTCTCCATTTTTCTTTTCTTAAATATACCTCTCCTGTTGAAAGTACTACAGCTGTCCCTTTCAGGAGGAAACTAAGGTGCCAAGAGGTGAAACACCTTGCTGAAGGTCAGGTCGCTTAGAGGCGATAGGATCTAAACACAGGCAGACTGTCTCCAGCGCTTACCTCCCCCCACCTGCAAAAATGCAGGCCTTCAACCCCAAACGGCAACATGTACAAACACTGCACTAGTGTGGACACCGAGCTCCGTAACAGACGGGACACCAGCGGTCTAAACGGAGAGGCTATTTCCCTCGCCTGGGCCACCCAGGCTGGGAGGCAGCTCTGCACCCGGAGGTCACACTGCCCCAGCACTAACGGCTGCGAACGGCCTGGGTCCACTTTGCCTACCGGTGACTCACTCTCCTCCTTCCTTCTGACGTCATGAAAACTGTGCTTACACCCGAGTCGCTCGGTTAAAACCTGTAGGGTCCTTCCAGTTTCTGGAGAACCGGTTCCATGTGAGAACTCTGGGTTCAAATCCTTGCTCGGCCTCACAGTAGCCGTGTGACCCGACACAAGTCGTTTAACCTTTCTGTACCTCAACCGCAGACGGGAAAATGAGTGGATAGGAGCAAAAGGAGACGATCCATATAAAGAACTTGGCGCGAAGCTCGGCATACAGTAAGCTCCATGAAACGTTAGCTCCAGTCACTATGATACCAACAGCGTCTGAGTGAAGGGACTCTCTCGGAACAGCTGCCAGACCAATTAACCACCTCTCAACAGAAAAAACGCCGAGGACCACCTAGCTCGACAGCTACCACACTGATGAGAAATCGAAGGATTACGATGCTGAGATGGTTTAAAAGTCCCCACCCAGCCCTTGAGGGGTTTATAATCTGGCCCAAAGAACCCAGGAGGGTAAACCTCTAACTCTGGAGCCCTAGGCTTTCGCTTCACCGCTGAGGGCCTTCTCTCCAGCTGTAAAATGGGCATCATCACCTCATGTTAACCCCCTGGCCAAAAATAAACCCAGATCCCGGCTGTGAAAATACCCTGGGAGGCAACGGTGGTAAGAACTCTCCCAAACAAAAAGCCACCTGGCTCCCAACTCTGGGCGGCAAAAAGCAAAACCAGACTTCCTGCTCTGACCCTGGGCGAGGGCCTGACACTCCAGGTGAGGTCTGCCAACCAGCGATGACATCTGTCTTGTTCAAATTCCATCAATAAAATGAGAAGTGGCCAGGCCGCCGGTGACCCAAGTGCCTCTTTGTTTCCTTTCCTTGCCCACAGACTTAACTGTTTCCCTTTTAAATGGCCTAAAGCCACCTGACTGTAAGAGTAACTTAGTAGCCCTTCTAAGTAGTTCAGTTGGTTAGAGCGTCCTCCTGATATACAGCGGTTGTGGGTTTGATCCCCAGTCAGGGCACATACAAGAATCAACCAATGAATGATAAATAAGTGGGACAGCAAATCGATGTCTCTCTCAAATCAATAAATGAAAAAAGAGTAACTTAGTAAACTCCACTTTGGATACAATGACTTGAATGTTTGCCTAGAGTGGTTATGTGTACCTCAAAGAAACAGTTACACAGAAAGCTGTAAGAAAAATGAGTTCTGTTCATGCCAAACACCCGGCATTTTTATCTCAGGTGCTCCTAAAACTTACAAGATTCGCCTCTAAGCTCAAAAATTCTATCAGCCATCCATCACTGAACAAAAGAACGCAGAACATAAATTAAAATACGCTTACTCTACACCAGTTTTCTCTCATCTGCTACCTTTCATGAGCCAAGGGCCTGGCAGGGGGGAAATGAG